AAGAGGTGAATTCTACAATTATTTCTTTAGTGCCTAAGGTGTCCTGCCCATCTAAGATGACTGAATTTAGGCCTATATCCTGCTGCAATCTGATTTACAAATGTATCACAAAGATTATTGCTAATAGATTGAAAGAGTGCCTACCTCTATTCATTAGCTCCAACCAATGTGCTTTTGTTGAAGGAAGGCTAATGGTGGAGACTATACTGCTTGCACAAGAGTTGGTAAAAAATTATCACAAGCCTAACATGAAGCCTAGGTGTGCATTGAAGATTGATTTAATGAAGGCTTTTGACTCTGTAAGCTGGAAATTTATTTTCACAGCATTGGAAGCTTTGTCCTTTCCTCCCACTTTTATCAATTGGATTAAGGCTTGTATCACCTCTCCTATGTTCTCAATTGCTCTAAATGGGAATTTAGAAGGCTATTTTCCTGGTAAGAAAGGGATAAGGCAGGGTGATCCTTTATCACCATACCTTTTTGTCATTTGTATGGAGGTTTTATCAAGGATGCTCAACAAAGCAGCCAAAGAGGGAATGCTACCTTTCCATCCGAAATGCAGTAATGTTAAATTGACTCATCTATGCTTTGCAGATGATTTACTAGTATTCACCGACGGTTCAACGAGAGCAATAAGTGCTGTTGATTTTATATTGAAACAATTTTATTTGGCCACAGGTTTAAAGGTGAACTACCATAAGTCAGAAATTTTTTGCTGTGGAATGCAACCTAATGAAATAAGGGAGCTAGCTGATTTGTATGGCTTCAAAGTAGGAACCCTTCCTGTTAGATACCTTGGGGTACCACTCATAACTGGAAGACTAACAGATGCTGCTTTAAAGCCTCTCATCACAAAAATAATTGAGAAAATCAGTTCATGGACTTCCAGATATCTGTCATTTGCAGGAAGATTGCAGCTTATTTCATCTGTTCTTCAAAGCATAACAAATTTTTGGTATTCTATTTTCATTCTACCAAAAAGAGTAATTAAATCAGTGGAGGGAATTTGTAATGCCTTTCTTTAGAAAGGTAGAGTAGCTGATGCAAGAGGAGCCAAGGTAAGTTGGGCAATAGTATGTCAACCAAAGATGGAAGGAGGATTAGGCTTGAAGCCTTTGCATATTTGGAATATGGCTTGCATTTTGCGATTCATTTGGCTACTTTTCACCAAGGCA